ACAAACTGAGTTGCAGTGGTGATGGTGGTGGTGATCATGGTGATGATGGTGGTGATGATGGTGGTGATGGTGGTGATGATGGTGATGATGGTGGTGGTGATGGTGGTGGTGATGGTGATGATGGTGGTGGTGATGGTGGTGGTGATGGTGGTGGTGATGGTGGTGATGATGGTGGTGGTGATGGTGGTGGTGATGGTGGTGGTGATCATGGTGATGATGGTGGTGATGATGGTGGTGATGGTGGTGATGATGGTGATGATGGTGGTGATGATGGTGGTGGTGATGGTGGTGGTGATGGTGGTGGTGATCATGGTGATGATGGTGGTGATGATGGTGGTGATGGTGGTGATGATGGTGATGATGGTGGTGGTGATGGTGGTGGTGATGGTGGTGGTGATGGTGGTGATGATGGTGGTGGTGATGGTGGTGGTGATGGTGGTGATGATGGAGGTGGTGATGGTGGTGGTGATGGTGGTGTTGATGGTGGTGATGATGGAGGTGGTGATGTTGGAAGTAGAGGTCGTGGTGTTGGTGGACGTTACAGTGGTGGTGGTAATAGTGGAGGTGGTGGTGATGGTAGTGATGGAGGTGGCCTCACCACCACCACCATCACTCACCACCATCACTCACCACCACCACCCTCACCACCATCACTCACCACCACCACCCTCACCACCATCACTCACCACCATCACTCACCACCGTGATGATGATGATGAGAGAGATCGAACCCACGACCTCCTGTATACCAGGCGAGGTAGTCAACATCTCATAGCCACCGTGATGATGATGAGAGAGAGATCGAACCCACGACCTCCTGTAGACCAGGCGAGGTGGTCAACATCTCATAGCCACCGTGATGATGATGAGAGATCGAACCCACGACCTCCTGTAGACCAGGCGAGGTGGTCAACATCTCATAGCCACCGTGATGATGAGAGATCGAACCCACGACCTCCTGTAGACCAGGCGAGGTGGTCAACATCTCATAGCCACCGTGATGATGATGGGAGAGATCGAACCCACGACCTCCTGTAGACCAGGCGAGGTGGTCAACATCTCATAGCCACCGTGATGATGATGAGAGAGAGATCGAACCCACGACCTCCTGTAGACCAGGCGAGGTAGTCAACATCTCATAGCCACCGTGATGATGATGGGAGATCGAACCCACGACCTCCTGTAGACCAGGCGAGGTGGTCAACATCTCATAGCCACCGTGATGATGAGAGAGAGATCGAACCCACGACCCCCTGTAGACCAGGCGAGGTGGTCAACATCTCATAGCCACCGTGATGATGAGAGAGAGATCGAACCCACGGCCTCCTGTAGACCAGGCGAGGTGGTCAACATCTCATAGCCACATGGAGCCATCGGAACGGATAATGTAATCGATGATAATCGATCATCAGAGAGAGGGAGACACGCAAAACGATGATTATAATCGATGGGAATCGATTAGCAGAGAGAGACGCGCAAACCAACGATTATAATCGATGAGATTCGATTATAATCGATGAGAATCGAACAAACGATTCCCGGTGACGTCATAACCCGGAGACCATCGCCAAGTTCAAGATGGCGGCACCCAGGTTGGAGGTTGTTGTTGTGGTGGTTGTAGTGGTGGTGGTTGTAGTGGTGGTTGTAGTGGTGGTTGTAGTGGTGGTGGTTGTAGTGGTGGTTGTAGTGGTGGTGGTTGTGGTGGTGGTTGTAGTGGTTCTTGTGGTGGTTGTTGTTGTGGTTGTTGTTGTGGTGGTTGTTGTAGTTGTGGTGGTAGTGGTGGTTGTAGTGGTGGTGGTAGTGGTGGTTGTTGTGGTGGTTGTAGTGGTGGTTGTTGTGGTGGTGGTTGTAGTGGTGGTTGTAGTGGTGGTTGTTGTGGTTGTGGTGGTTGTAGTGGTGGTTGTAGTGGTGGTTGTAGTGGTGGTTGTTGTGGTGGTTGTAGTGGTGGTTGTAGTGGTTGTGGTGGTGGTTGTAGTGGTTGTGGTGGTTGTTGTGGTTGTGGTGGTTGTTGTGGTGGTGGTTGCAGTGGTGGTTGTAGTGGTGGTTGTGGTGGTGGTAGTGATGGTTGTTGTGGTGGTGGTGGTGGTTGTAGTGGTGGTTGTAGTGGTGGTTGTTGTGGTGGTAGTGGTGGTAGTGGTGGTTGTTGTGGTGGTGGTAGTGGTGGTTGTTGTAGTGGTTGCGGTGGTGGTGGTTGTTGTGGTGGTTGTGGTAGTGGTGGTTGTAGTGGTGGTTGTTGTGGTGGTTGTTGTGGTGGTTGTAGTGGTGGTGGTTGTTGTGGTGGTAGTGGTGGTTGTAGTGGTGGTGGTTGTTGTAGTGGTGGTGGTTGTTGTGGTGGTGGTGGTTGTAGTGGTGGTTGTGGTGGTGGTTGTAGTGGTGGTGGTGTTTGTTGTGGTGGTGGTAGTGGTGGTTGTTGTGGTGGTGGTTGTTGTTGTGGTGGTGGTTCGATCCCGACCCTGACGACGCTGCTGCTGCTGCTGTGTTTGGAGTTTGGAGTCTCTCTCCCCAGGATGTTAACTACATCGTCTGGTGTGCAGGACAATTCAGTAGTGGAAGAGGCAACAACACACACACTGACACACACACATTGACACACACACATTGACTCACACACATTGACACACACACACTGACACACACACATTGACACACACACTGACACACACACATTGACACACACACACTGACACACACACACTGACACACACACACTGACACACACACATTGACACACACACACTGACACACACACACTGACACACACACATTGACACACACACACTGACACACACACACACTGACACACACACACTGACACACACACACTGACACACGCACATTGACACACGCACACTGACACACACACATTGACACACACACATTGACACACACACACTGACACACACACATTGACACAAACACATTGACACACACACGTTGACACATACACATTGACACACACACACTGACACACACACACACATACTCACACGCACGCACCCACACACACCCACACACGCACACACACTCACACACACCCACACACACACTCACACACGCACTCACACACGCACACTCACGCATACACACTCACACGCACTCACACACCCACCCACACTCACACACACGCACTCACACATACCCACCCACACACGCAAACTCACACACACTCACACACACCCACGCACACACTCACACGCACTCACACCCACCCACACTCGCACTCACACTCACACACTTACACATACCCACCCACACACGTAAACTCACACACACTCACGCAATGTCGCTACTACCAGCACTCCACCACCATCACCACTATCACCACCACCATCACCACCATCACCACACCATCATTACACCGTCATCACCATTACCGCATCACCATCACCACGCCACCGTCACCATCACCACGCCACCATCTCCATACCACCATCAGCACACTCACAATCATCGCACCGTCGCGATCTCTCTACGCCATTACCACACCGATACCAAAACGGCCACCATCACCACACCGTCGTCACCACACCACCGTCACCACCATCACCATCATCATTACCACCATCACCACTTGAGCAAAATAACCAGCGTCACTACATCACCACCCCATGCACCTCCGCTTGTCATGGTGGGCACTATAGAATGCGAACGTGGTTGCAACATACATCCATCACTGCAATCACCATCACCCACACTACCATCACCACCACCATTATCACCATCATCAACACCGCCATCACCCACACTATCACCACCATCACCACCACCTTTACCACCACTATCACCATCAACACTGTCATCAACCACACTATCACCACCATTACCACAATCACCACCGCCATCACCCACACTACCACCACCACGACCACGACCACTATCGCCATCACCACCACTACCACCATCACCACCGCCATCGCCCACACCACCACTACCACCACCACTGTCACCATTACCACCATTAACACCACGACCACCACCACTGTCACCACCACCACTAACACCATCACCACTATCACCACTATCACCACTATCACCACCACCGCCACTATCACCACCGCCACCATCACCACCATCACCACCACCACTATCACCACCACCACTAACACCACCACCACTATCACCACTATCACCACCATCACCACCACCACCATCACCACCACTATCACCACCGCCACCGCCGGCTGGAGCTCCGTGGCTCCGCTGGAGCTCCGTGCTGTTCAGCGGCTTCCTCACCGAGCGGCCAAGTGGCCACCGCCGCTTCTTCGTGCTGCGTGGGGGCGACGGGACCGTAGCCCCCCTCCTCCAGTGCTACCGCAGCCCCCGGGAGAGCTGCCTGGCCTGGGGGGGCGGGGCGCCCCCACCCCCCGCCTCCTCCCGCTCCCCCACCCCGACCTGCCCGGCCCGCCTCGCCCGCCTCGCCCGCCTCGCCCGCCTGCTCCTCCGCCCGCCGCCCCGCGTCCTGCCCCTCGGCGGGCTAGGGGCGGCGGTGGAGCGCTCGGACGCGCGGGCCCCGTACGGCCTGGCGGTCTTCGCCGACGCGGGGTACCTCGCCCTGGCCGCCGACGACGAGGCCCAGAGACGGGCCTGGCTGGGGGCCCTGCGGGCTCACCTCCTGCCGGCGGCGGGCGGCGGGGCCGGGCCGCCGCTGGCCGCGTGGGAAGGGCGGCTGTGGAGCCGCCGCGGGGCGGCGGAGGTGCGTGCGGGGCCCTGCCGCGTCTACGTCCACGCCGGGAGCCTGCGCTTCGCGAGCCCCGCGACGGGGCCACTCGCAGGCAGGTGGCGGCGGCAGCAGAGGTCGCAAGCGGGTTTTGATTCCCTACCCGTAGCCTACGCTAAATGAGTGACAAACGGTGACTCGGAGAGTCCCATCGACCCAAAGAGACCCGCAGAGACCCACAGAGACCCACAGAGACCCGCAGAGGGGGGTACAGGCTGCAGGTTGTGGGGGGGTCTGTGGGCGATGTGCAGAGTGCCGCTTCCTTGTGTGGCAGCAGATGCCACGGCGGTGACCATCAAGCTGGCGGACATCAAGTGCTACGGACACGTCCGCCATTGCTTCTCCGTCACGTGGGACACGCACTCGGAGCTTGGAGTTGGACGGATCCGGATGAAGGTACGACCTCGTCTCGATGTTTCTGTTGCACCACGGACACAATTCGTTCCCGAGGCAGTCCGCTCGTGAGTCATTCGGCCAGCGTTGACAAAGAACCCCCGTGTAGCCTTAACAGACTGTAGGGGCAAGTGCTGTTAGCGAGCACCTGTAAAGGCCGGAACGGCACACGAGGGGGTGGGTGGCCAGCACCACGCCCGACCGCCTTTGTCTCCCCAGTGGCGATGTTAACACACCGCACCAGTTACTCATTTCAGGCTGAGTCGACCTAGGGGATGCCCAGGACTGCACACTCATGTTCACACACGCAAACACACATTTTCACCCGGTGCCAATACCAATCCTGGCCATTCGCCACTAAGTGGCGGTGACGTCACCACGACGCTTGTGCCAGGCCAAGTGCACCTTGAGGCCACGTGAAGTGTCGAACGCCCGCTGGCAGGAGGTCACAGGGCAGACCCAGCAGGTGCCACGGGTCGACTGACTGAGATGACCGAGATGACTGGCTGATGCACCACCTGTGCCCCCTACTACACGCGCACACACACTTTCCCAGTGGCGATGTTTACTACACACCGCACCAGGTACTCATTTGAGGCTGAGTCGACCTAGGGGAGGCCCAGGACCGGTTCAGATAATCGTCACTGGTGTTGGCCGTGAGCGGGAATCGATCCCGGGTCTCCAGGTTCATAGCGCAGCACGCTAACCGCTACACTACCGCTCCCCACACGCACGCACACACATAGACACACACACACGCGCGCACACACACGCACACACGCACACACACACGCGCACACACACGCACAGACACACACACACACACGCACACACACACACGCACACACACGCGCACACACACGCACACACCCGCACACACACAAAAAGACAAAGATCCCCCGTGTAGCCTGTAACAGACGGTAGGGGCAAGTGCTGTTAGCGAGCACCTATGAAGGCCGGAACGGTACACGAGCGGGTGGGTGGCCAGCACCACGCCCGACCGCTTTTGTCTCCCTAGTGGTGATGTTTACACACCGCACCAGGTACTCATTTGAGGCTGAGTCGACCTAGGGGAGGCCCGGGACCAGTTCAAATAATTGTCACTGGTGTTGGCCGTGAGCGGGAATCGAACTCGGGTCGCCGGGTTCATAGCGCAGCGTAGCGCTAACCACTACACCCACCACTCCCACAACAGACACACACAGACACACGCACGCACACGCACGCACTCACACACACGCACATGCACACACACGCACACACACACGCACACACGCACGCACACACGCACGCACACACGCACACGCACGCACACACACGCACACACCACACGCACACACGCACACACACACACACGCACACACACATACACACACACGCGCACACACACGCACACACACGCACGCACCATAGCCCGGTCGCACGTGACACCTCACGGAGGATGGATCGCTCCGCTTTGTTTTGTCGTCGTAACTTTGTGACGACCCGCACCGCCGCCCTTCTGCAAAGAGCTTCGCAGCTCACCGGATTTCCCTCCCTCCCTCCCCACCGCGAGCCGCAGCTGGAGGAGGGTTCGGCGGCGGCGGCGGCGCTGCACGGCGCGGTTCTGCGCGCCCGGCTGGGGCTGCCCAGCCACGAGCTGGGGAAGGAGGACGATGCAGGAGAAGTTGAATGTCAAGCCGCTGGGTCCAAGTCAACCGAAAATTGAAATCAACCGGCCCCTCGGGCGACCGGGGAAAAGCATTCCGTGAGGACATTTAGCCAGAGCCGGCGTGCTGGCAAGGCCTGGCTATGTGAATTCAGACGAAAGCCTGCCGTGCAGGTGGGTGTGTCGCCCTACGTGGCTGTTATTGTACGGCGTGTGGTGTCGTGGTTGTCTCGGCTAACTTGATTTCTCGACACGCTCCGGACAGGCTCACGGAGTAACATACACGCCGGGCCACGTAGAGCTTTGCCACCTGTACAGCCACACCGGCGACGTACAACTCTATAGCTGGCTGGCTGTGCGACGACGACGACGACGAAGAGACGGCAGTGATGACAGCGACGACAGCCTTGACCCGAGACCACCACGACAGCCCCAAACCCCCACTTGCCTCTCCCTTATATTCGCCCAGCGTGGCCACGCCCACCTCTGGAACTCTCTCGCTGGTTCCAGGAGCTTCCCAGTGAATCCCCACCTTGAGCCTTGCCCCAGTTAACGTGCCCCTTGTGGGTTCGGCCGTTGTATGACGCACCCGCACCTCTAGTTAACCCCCACAGTCAACAGGTTTTTCTTGGTTCTTTCAGTAAAGTCGTCACGTAGAATGGAAGTAATAAAATAATAAAAATAAAACATTAATTAATTCTCACGAATTTCGGCCACAACGCAAGCAGCCGTCCTCAGGTGAAGAGGAACAGGTCTGTCGGGGGGCGTGGTGAGCAGTGTGCGCAGTGACAGGTGGCAAACCCCGTCACTGCGCACAAATTTTGTGAGGGAATAAAATGGGCGCAAAATAAACGTCAATTATATTTTGCGACAAAAAAAATGGCGGATTTGATTTGTCGCACGATTGCGAAGGGGGCCACGTGCTGCCGTACGAGGGGGAGATCCCCGCCACGGGAGCCGCGAGTCTCCCGCGGCGGGGATCTCCGCCCGATGCCAAGTCGCCGCGTCTGCAGTGAAGTGCCGTCTCAAGAGAAGTGCGCCAAGCCGTCGTTACAGATTCTTAGGTTTTTTCGGTAAAGTCACCAGGTAGGTAAAAAATTTTAATTGGTAAAATAAAATTAAAATCGCTTCCGTCTTCAGGTGGAACCGTCACAGCACGACAGCTGTATCAAGTGAGAGAAATTCCAAGAACACAGTACTTGTATATATACTGGTTGAGGGTGGGAGGAGCCAAGGTAGGCCCTGAATATTATTGTTGTGAGGTTCGGTGCGGCTGAAGCACGCTGTTAGGAATGAGCCTTTGTTGTGTAAACTGGGTGCGGCTGATGTACACTTTGACACCGACAAGAACGTGCCATGACGGGACACCACGCACTAAACCTTCATTTCAAACGTAAAAAAAACGCCACGCAACGCCGAACACGAAGAGATACTCCGCCGTAGTTTTCCCGACCACTTTGTGGACTTTTATTGAATGCAAGCAAGGACTCGGACCAAGCCCCGTCCGCTCTCAAAATCCGGCAGAAGTGAAGCGCCATCTTGGGCTAATCGCAACCTTTGAAACGTCATAAGGGGTAAGCGAGAAAACAATCCGTTCAAGACCCACAGACTCATCACACAGAGACCCACAGACTCACCACCCAGAGACCCACAGACTCATCACACAGAGACCCACAGACTCGCCACACAGAGACCCACAGACTCACCACACAGACCCACAGACTCATCACAGAGACCCACAGACTCATCACACAGAGACCCATAGACTCATCACACACAGATTCATAGTCTCACCACACAGAGACCCATAGACTCATCACACAGAGACCCATAGACTCATCACACAGAGACCCACAGACTCATCACACAGAGACCCACAGACTCACCACATAGAGACCCACAGACTCATCACACAGAGACCCACAGACTCACCACACAGAGACCCATAGACTCACCACACAGAGACCCACAGACTCACCACACAGAGACCCACAGACTCATCACACACAGATCCATAGACTCATCACACAGATCCATAGAATCACTACACAGACCCATAGACTCACCACACAAGAGACCCATAGATTCATCACACAGAGACCCACAGACTCACTACACAGAGACCCACAGACTCACCACACAGAGACCCACAGACTCATCACACAGAGACCCACAGACTCATACAGAGACCCATAGACTCATCACACAGAGACCCATAGACTCACTACACAGAGACCCACAGACTCGCCACACAGAGACCCACAGACTCGCCACACAGAGACCCACAGACTCACCACACAGAGACCCACAGACTCACCACACAGACCCACAGACTCATCACACGGAGACCCACAGACTCATCACACAGAGACCCATAGACTCATCACACACAGATTCATAGACTCACCACACAGAGACCCATAGACTCATCACACAGACCCATAGACTCATCACACAGAGACCCACAGACTCATCACATAGAGACCCACAGACTCATCACACAGAGACCCACAGACTCATCACATAGAGACCGACAGACTCATCACACAGAGACCCACAGACTCATCACACACAGATCCATAGACTCATCACACAGATCCATAGAATCACTACACAGAGACCCATAGACTCACCACACAAGAGACCCATAGATTCATCACACAGAGACCCATAGACTCATCACACAGAGACCCATAGACTCATCACACAGAGACCCACAGACTCATCACACAGAGACCCACAGACTCATCACATAGAGACCCACAGACTCATCACACAGAGACCCACAGACTCACCACACAGAGACCCATAGACTCACCACACAGAGACCCACAGACTCACCACACAGAGACCCACAGACTCATCACACACAGATCCATAGACTCATCACACAGATCCATAGAATCACTACACAGACCCATAGACTCACCACACAAGAGACCCATAGATTCATCACACAGAGACCCACAGACTCACTACACAGAGACCCACAGACTCACCACACAGAGACCCACAGACTCATCACACAGAGACCCACAGACTCATACAGAGACCCATAGACTCATCACACAGAGACCCATAGACTCACTACACAGAGACCCACAGACTCGCCACACAGAGACCCACAGACTCGCCACACAGAGACCCACAGACTCACCACACAGAGACCCACAGACTCACCACACAGACCCACAGACTCATCACACGGAGACCCACAGACTCATCACACAGAGACCCATAGACTCATCACACACAGATTCATAGACTCACCACACAGAGACCCATAGACTCATCACACAGACCCATAGACTCATCACACAGAGACCCACAGACTCATCACATAGAGACCCACAGACTCATCACACAGAGACCCACAGACTCATCACATAGAGACCGACAGACTCATCACACAGAGACCCACAGACTCATCACACACAGATCCAGACTCATCACACAGATCCATAGAATCACTACACAGAGACCCATAGACTCACCACACAAGAGACCCATAGATTCATCACACAGAGACCCATAGACTCACTACACAGAGACCCACAGACTCACCACACAGAGACCCACAGACTCATCACACAGAGACCCACAGATTCACCACACAGAGACCCACAGACTCATCATACAGAGACCCATAGACTCATCACACAGAGACCCATAGACTCACCACACAGAGACCCACAGACTCACCACACAGACCCACAGACTCATCACACGGAGACCCACAGACTCATCACACAGAGACCCATAGGCTCATCACACACAGATTCATAGACTCACCACACAGAGACCCATAGACTCATCACACAGACCCATAGACTCATCACACAGACCCACAGACTCATCACATAGAGACCCACAGACTCATCACACAGAGACCCACAGACTCATCACATAGAGACCGACAGACTCATCACACAGAGACCCACAGACTCATCACACACAGATCCATAGACTCATCACACAGATCCATAGAATCACTACACAGAGACCCATAGACTCACCACACAAGAGACCCACAGACTCACCACACAGAGACCCACAGACTCATCACACAGAGACCCACAGACTCATACAGAGACCCATAGACTCATCACACAGAGACCCATAGACTCACTACACAGAGACCCATAGACTCACCACACAAACCCACAGACTCACCACACAGAGACCCACAGACTCATCACACAGAGATCCATAGACTCACCACACAGAGACTCATAGACTCACCACACAATCCCATATACTCACACAGAGACCCATAGACTGACCACACAGAGACCCATAGACTCATCATACAGAGATCCATCGACTCACCACACAGAGACCCATAGACTCATCATACAGAGATCCATCGACTCACCACACAGACCCATAGACTCACTACACAGACCCATAGACTCGTCACAGAGATTCATAGGATCACCACACAGAGACTCATAGACTCATCATACAGAGTCACATATACTCACACAGAGACCCATAGACTCATACAGAATCCCATATACTCACACAGAGACCCATAGACTCATACAGAATCCCATATACTCACAGAGACCCAAGACTTCACACAGACCCATAGACTCACCACACAGAGATCCATAGCCTCACTACACAGAGACCCATAGACTCACTACACAGAGATCCATAGACTCACCACACAGACCCATGCACCTAGCTTAGCACAGCAGTCAACCCATGGCACCTGCTGGGTCTGCTCCGTGACCTCCTCATGCACCTAGCCTGGCACAGCAGTCAACCCACGGCACCTGCAGGGTCTGTCCCGTGACTTCCTGCACCTAGCCTGGCACAGCAGTCAACCCATGGCACCTGCAGGATCTGTCCCATGACCCCCTCCTCCTGCACCTAGCCTGGCACAGCAGTCAACCCATGGCACCCACAGGATCTGTCCCATGACCCCCTCCTCCTGCACCTAGCCTGGCACAGCAGTCAACCCGTGTCACCTGCTGGGTCTGTCCCGTGACCTCCTCCTGCACCTAGCCTGGCACAGCACGGCATCTGCTGGGTCTGTCCCGTGACCTCCTCCTGCACCTAGCCTGGCACAGCAGTCAACCCACGGCGCCTGCTGGGTCTGTCCCTGAGATGATAAGCCACTTCGCTAAGCCATCTCTCTCTCTGCGCGTGTCTGTCTGTCTTTGTGTCTCATAACTTTAATGTAAATTGTATTATGGTTGTCATTGTTTGATATGCGCTGATTTTTTGGGGAAGGTTTTTTCTCCTGGATGTTTCTGTTGCGCGTCGTCATTTTAAGATTTTATTTTTTCGTGTTTTTTGTTTGTTGCCCCATGGGTCACGTGGTTATACCTCAAAATAAATTAAACTTTAAACTGAAACTGTCTCCGTGTCTGTGCCTCTGTACATCTGTAACGGGAAGACATCTTCTGTAACGGGAAGGCATCTTCTGTAACGGCAAGACTTATTTATATACTACACACTACACTACATTATACACTACTATACACTACACTATACACTACACTATACACTACACACTACACTACACTATACACTACACTATACTATACACTACACTATACACTACACACTACACTATACACTACACTACACTATACACTACACTATACACTACACTATACACTACACTACTATACACTATACTATACACTACACTATACACTACACTATACACTACACTATACACTACATTATACACACTATACACTATACACTACATTATACACTACTATACACTACACT